CTCCCCTCCCCCAGCCTCTCCCTTCCCCCAGCCCCTCCCCTCCCCTCCCCTCCCGTCGGCCTTCCCCTGCGGCCACTGGTCCGTGGGGATCCGCCGCCCTCCGTCACCGCGCGTCCACTTCCGTCCCGCGGGAGGCGCCTCCCCTCCGCCGGTCGCGACGGTCCCCGGGCTGGCGGGTGCCCTCCGCGCGCCGAGAACCAGGCTTCCGGCGGCGGCCGGGTCGGTGCGCTCCGGGCGCAGGGACGCGCAGCGGCGCGGCGCCCACTCCGCGCGTGTTTGCAGAAGGGAGAGCCAGTGTGCCCGGTGCGCAGGTAAAGGAGCGACCCACGAGTCCCTTTCACAACCCAAGCAGCAGTTAAGTTCACTCCCGCTGCAGACAAGCACCCCGGGCCTGCCCACTTGGGCACGTTTTCCTGCCCTGCTCCGCCACCGCTGTAAAAAATGTTGTTGAAATCATACTGCACATGAACTCGTATTTATTTTTGACGCTTGGTCGGGAGCCTTTCTTCCCTGCCTTTGAATGGAATCCTCATTGTAATTATTGTCCTACAAGTTGGGCGTTTGGGTTGTATAGTTTTCGCCAATATAAGCCTGTGGGAAAGATGGGCCTATTTGCATTGAAATGTAACCAAATTGAAGGAGAGTTTGGCCACCTGATGTGTCCGCGTGTCCAGGAGCCAGTACAATTTGACACCAAGCTTTTGCAGAGAGGAAAATTAGGCCATTTATTGGTGTGCCCCCCCACCCCCCGCCCCGTCCTTTCCAGGAGAATAGGAGCTAATGCTCAAGAGTCCGGAACTCTCCGATGGCTTGCATGAGGGTTTTTAAGGGCAAAATTTGGGGGAAGAAGTCTCCAGAGAAGGTGGACACTGTTGGTAAGAAGCCCGTGAGGCCCTACCAGCAGGTCACCTGGTGCCACTTCATCTGGTGTCTTGGAAGTCCTTTCCATTTCAAGAGGCTTGGAATCTGGAAAATATCTTTATTCCTTACATTAGAAATTGAAGCAAGCATTCCTGTCCCTTGAGCCTAGGCCTGCATGTTCCTTGGCTGTGCATCGGGGAGACATGACCTCTGGTGTTTCATTCTTTCATCTGAACTGACAAGATGGATGCCGGCCTCAGAAAATCATTATGGGGGTGCCTGAGGGGCTCACTGGGTTAAGCGTCCGACTCTTGATTTCGGCTCAGGTCACGATCTGAAGGTTCATGAGTTAAGCCGTGCATCGGGCTCTGTGCTGACAGTGTGGAGCCTGCTTGGGATTCTCTTTCCTTCTCTCTCAGCTCCTGCTGTGTGCTCTGTCTCTGTCTCTTTAAAAAATTATCGGGGCGCCTGGGTGGCTCAGTCAGTTAAGTGTCAGACTTCAGTTCAGGTCACACGATCTCACGGTTTGTGAGTTCGAGCCCCGCGTCAGGCTCTGTGCTAACAGCTGAGTCTGGAGCCTGCTTCACATTCTGTGTCTCCCTCTCTCTCTGATCCTCCCCTGCTCGTGCTCTCTCTCTCTCTCAAAAGTAAACATTAAAAATTAAAAAAAATTATTATCCACATTTGGCAGTATTTCCTTAGGGCGGCTATTAGGTCTAGAGAGGAGACCGTGGGGCTAGCATCATGGCATCTTTGGTGCCAGGTACTGCGTGCATGTTGCCAAGGACCGCACAGGTCACGCACACAGCCATGGGGGCTGGGAGGCGACATGTCTCCTGTCCTGGCCCTTGCTGACATAAGGAACTGCGATTAGGTCTACCTGCTGATGAAAGATACAAGCTGATGTTTTCAAAGCCCATTTCAACTAAGGTGGCCAGAAGTGAGCCCCACAGGTGCCTGGGGACATAGGATCTGGGCCTCGGAACAGCCTCAGAGAGGCCAAGGGCACCATGTGATTGGCTTGTGTGCAGGCCAGTGGGTACTCATCACATCCACCTTTCTAATTCATGCTGTCTAGACCTGTACCCTATGGAACATAGAAGCATGGTTGCGGACAAATAAATCTGGAGTTGTTGAGGTTGGTAGAATCATCTGTGGACATAGGGATTACGTAGGGCCCTGCTTTCCCAGCCGCAAGATCCAAGCAAGTTCCTGCATGTGTTTACCCAGTAAAGGAGAAACACTGAGCCTTCTCCTTTAGGCACTGCCTTCCCCTGTTAGCTTTCAGCCTTAGTTTGCTTGCTGCTGGTTTCCAAATCTCTGAGGCTTCTAGAAATTTCTTCCTGGATTTCTTTACTTGTTATAGTACCATCCATGCCAATTCCTTTTTCTCGTCGAGATCTGTTTTCTGGTTCTGCTGGAGAACGTTGTTGCATCTGGAAGTCTGACTTCTGAGTTGTTTACGTCCTTGAGGGTACGAAAGTAGGAAAACCACGTTCTCTGGACCACACTTTACCACCCATTTCTCGCCTTTTTTGACTTCCGATGAGAAAAAGGGAATGTTATTCAAGAGCGTTGTTAAAAGATGATTTTCAGGGAAAGGTAAGATCACGACTCTCATACAGATATAAAAATGAGCAAACGTTGGGGCACCTGGCTGGCTCGGTCAGTAGAGCATGCAACTCTTGATCTCGGGTTGTGAGTCCCTGAGTCCCATGTTGAGTGTTGAGGGATTACTTAAACATTTTTTTAAAAAATGTGCAGGTGTTAAAGATTCTATTTTATTTATTAAAGGAGGAACCAGGCATATTTTATAACTGATTCAAAAGAGAAGTCAAGAAGGACAGGTATATATGGGGCAAGTGAATCCCTCAGGAGGGTTCGTGTTAGGGGAAGGGGCAGGAGCTTTTTATCTTGAACAGGTCCCAATAGTTTATTTTTGCTTTTATTTCCCTTGTCCCTGGAGATGTGTCAAGTGAGAAATTGCTGCGGCCGAGGTCAGAGAGCTTGCTGCCTGTTTTCTCCTGTAGCGTTTTGATGGTTTCCTGCCTCACATAGAGGGCTTTCATCCATCTTGGGTTTATTTTTGTGTCTGGGGTAAGAAAGTGGCCCAGGTTCATGCTTCTGCGTGTCGCTGTCCAGTTCTCCCAGCACTGCTTGCTGAAATGGGTGATGGGCATTCAGGAGGGCACTTTTAGGGATGAGCACTGGGTGTCCTATGTAAGTGATGAATCACTGGGTTCTGTTCCTGAACCAAGACTACATTGTATGTTAACTCACTTAAAAAAAAAAAAATGAAAAAAAAAAAAAAAGGAGATAGTGCAGGACACATCAGGTCCTTGGAATTGGCATCAATAGGTACCAGTGGTCCCCATGGGTCTTGACTTGTGATATCATGGAAGCATTTGGTGTGTGAAGTAGGACTGAAGGATGTTGAACAACAAAGGATTCATTCATGGCATTTGTTAAGGAACGGAACGCAGACCTTATTCAGGACCATCGGGACAGGTGTAGGGACCAGGCACTGGGGGAGAGAGATTGAGCTCAGCTCTGGAAATAACAGAGAAAAGTGAGAATTTATAGCCGTGGAGTGGAGCAGCGGGGGTCAGTGGGTGGAAAATGACTGAGAGGAAACATCACAGGGGATGGGGGTTCTGCATCAACTGACGGGCAGGGTTCTTGCCGAAGACAAGCCCAAGAGATCGGACATCCGGGGGGGGGTGGAGGGGGGGAGGATGGGGAACCAATTCAGACGTGGAGGGTCAGGCATTCTGTGAAACTGACTTAGCAGGATTCATACTGAAAATAGACACAGCAGGAGGCCCCCCTGAAGCCCCAGACTCAGGTCTGTTTTTTGAGAAGAGGCTCCTTTCCTCCTCCTCCTCCCTCCCCCTCCTCCTCCCTCCCCCTCCTCCACCCCCTCCTCCTCCCTCTGCCTCCTCCTCCCTCTGCTTCCTCTTCGCTCCCCC